ACTAAGTCACCCTGCTTACAATGTAAAAGAGGGAAAGAGGCTTGCTTTTCTGTTTTGTGCTGGCTGCTTTTGCTGGCTGCTGCCTTGAAGGGTTGTCCTGGTGCCATGGCAGCTTGCCTTGGAGCCAGCTGATTATGGACTGAAACCTCCACAAACAGTAAGCCAAATAAATCTTTCTTGCCTGCATTTTGGCTGTCAGGCATTTTGTCTCAGCAATGGGAGAGTAGCCAAGACAGTCTCTTTAAATGATTCTCAGAAATCCTACTCAATGACTTGTATTTATCTTTACTGGCTATTTCTAATCTCAAAGACTAAGAAATGTACTCTACTAGTTGGGCACATTGTCTCCCAGGATAAAGTTGAGTTCTTTAGAAACTTAAAGGAAATGAGCACTGAATTGGTAACCAGCATGTGCCTCCACAGAGATCATTGCTGGAGCCACATTGCAAAAAGGTTCAGTGAAAAGAGGGGTCCAGAGAAATGCCATCAAAATTAAACAGAAATGAAAACCTTTTCTCTCCTTGGGACAGAGGAAAATCCTACAGTAGATCTCTATGTCACTTAGTTTTCAGTAACCCCACTGTTGAATATCCCCTCTGTCCTCAATGTTTCAAAATTTCTTCTACTTTACAGAAAATGACTGCTACATATTTTCTCTCAGTACTCTGGATTTTTCCCCCCAAAGGAATTTTTGTTAATCCACTGAGTTATTATAAACTTTGGAAACTGGAAACATATATACAAACATGTTTTAATTTTTGCCTTTCCATTATATTTTCCTGAAAGATGTTTTTATTGCTTGCAAACAAAACCTGAAGTTAAGTTCTGGGCATAAATTCTTAGACATGCTTCGATATTGTCACAAACAAGCATGGCATTATTCTGTGAGGCTCTCTAACCTTCCTACAAGTCCTCATTGTCTTGAATTTTTCTGCCACTGCCCCATGGGCACGCTACATATTCAGGACCATCATTCTCTTTTTTTATGTTGCACAAATATTTCTTTTCAAGGTTAATAAAATACATTCAGGACACTCAATTGGGCCATGTACTTTCACTCATTTATATGTGAGCTCAGTGGATTTCCATTTGAATTTTCAGGCAGAGACTCTGTCATTATCTTATTTAACTTCAAGACAATACCGTGGGTTTTCCCTGGTCTCCGACTATAATTTCATTTTATGACTGTCATTTCCAGCCTAACAAAGCAGCTCCCCTTCCTAGGAACAAGCTGTTTCCAGGAGTTGTGGTAAACACTCATACTCCTTGCTTTCCTGCCACCACTCCTGGGGGATTTCTTGTTATGAAGTCACCATAATACACACAGGCTCTCCATGAACCTTCCTCAGACCCTCGCGATGTCGTGGGGTTAAAAAAGTCATTATGTAATGTTGATTGAGATCACTTACATCTTTCAGTTATTTAAAAAGTTCATATTTAAGTTTTTGCAGCAGGAGAGGACAGTTTGCCTGCATTTAAGCTTTTTTTAAGGTAATGTCATAAAACCAACAAAGAATTAATTTCTTCTCTCGTACACTGTATTTTTACTTCTTTTTCACAAGGAGATACTAAGCTCACATGGAGCTTCCAAAGCAGAACTAAGGACAAATTCTGGATATGTGTAGAATTAGAACTTGAGGGAATATATTTCCCAGTCAAAACTGAGCTTTCCTTTAAAGAATACAATCATAAATGTAAAATAAAACAACAGAAACATACATGCACACACCCAAAAACCTATGTAGAAGGCAGTAAAGAAACAAGACAGATTTGTCACTAAATTGATGGCTTAGAAAACTATAATAAAATAGCCAAATCATGGATATCTGTTGCACTTTGGCCATTTAGTGGGTACCTCTCCTCTTTGAGTAACCAATACACTTCTTTTATAAAATGAATGCAATTTATGCCATGTCAGTGAAGGTGACCCAACTCTTTTCCTGTGTCCAGTGGAGTGGCTAGAGTATGCCAGAATTGGTCTGCATGTTTGCTGAGTTTTCCTATGCAGAAGTAGCAAGACAGAATCTTCCTCTCTAAGGTAGCCTATTGTAAGATAAATGAAATCTGGAGATGCCCACTGCATCATTTCCAATGTAATCAACAAGCTATCAGCAAAGATAAAATTGAGACCAATATGTTAAAAAAAAAAAAAAAACTCAGAAGACACAGGGGAAAACAGTAAGAGTTCTTGGGTGTCAGAATTTAAAGCATCTCCTTGTCTATTTTAAAGAGTTTATATTAGGTTTCTATTATTTTCAGCTAATGGTCCCTATCTATGACAGATTAGAGGACAAAGAAACCAAAAAACATTCTGGAAAGAGTAAAGCTATCTGTCTGCATATGCAGTGATGTGGGTCTTAGATTTTTAAGATTTTCCAGATTACATTAGCAGTCTTACTGTTATTCTCAAATTATATATATTGAGTTGGATTGATGATGTCTGCCAAGTGTTTCATACTCTATCTTTTCAGAAAAAATATAATTAAACACTTAAATATATGGGTATAGCTACTAGTTTTCAACATTTTATTGATGGATAGAGTCTTTTCCCAAGTCAGAAGAAGAGACAATGGTAAAACTAAAAATCAATCACCTCTATAATTTTTATTTTGTTTTGTGAAAGAGTGTCAAGAGAATATTATGAGATAAAATTACTTTTCTATGCTATTTAGAGATTTTGTTTACCTTTCTATTAGAGGTGATGAATGATTTTGTATAACTTAATTGGCCTGCCTAGTTTGGACTTCCAAATCAATTTAGTTTCTTCTGCATCACTGACATTTGGAAAGATCAAGTATTATAAAATATCTCCTATTTCAGGGCTGCTGCAAGAAAAGAATATTGATTTCTGGTCTTTTATAAATGTAGCTAAAATTATCAGCATATGATTTTGGATGCTTTGGTTTAAAGGACATATTTCTGTTATCTAATAAGCTATTATGTGGTTCCTTTTCCAAATGTTGCAAATACTCATCAGTGTAAAAGACGGTCATTGTTCTAAGGGGCAAAGTCACAGGTAGCTCTACAACTAACAGCAAAGCCTGGTTCAGCTCTGCTAGAAAGAACCGTAGGCAATGAACTGATGTGATACTAAATTTTAGAATCTCAAAAGCAGGGAACTTGGCTTGTATATATCTAAGAGAAAATAGTAAAGATTTCCTTGAGTATTGAAAACTGATACAGCCCTTGTTATTGAAATCAAATTTCAAAACACAAACCTAAGAAATCTCAACTAAAAAATGCTCAAATTCTCAAACTTCACAGTAGCCTTGATAATCTTTACTAGTTGGAATTGGGGCTACGCTAGCAGAGAGAAAAGAAGATTCATTCAAACTCATGCAATTTAAAAACTATAGAGCTGGGACGGATGGTTGTTCATGCACACCCACCATATACATTGAGACAAGAAATGTTGTTACTGATGTAGTCAAAGTGCAGAGCCTATGCCACCTTAAATAAACCTTAAGAATTACAAGATTACCCTCTGCCCAAGTCTGTGTATAGACACATGCAGCAGTAACAATTTGTACTGCTTTTTTCATTTTTATAAGCTAAAGACAATGGTTTTCCAAAATTAAGAGAATGTAGTACCTCCATAAGTCATAGCCATCTATCTTTAAACAATACAAATCCAATAACACATGAGTCACATACAGGGTGAGTCAGTCAAACACACGGCTGAGCTAAGCTGTGATTCATCACTAAACTGAATTCATATTCATGCTTCCACATGCTTGAAGGCAAACATAAGAGATTAAATTATTTTTAAAATGCATCTTCATGACAAACATACCAGTGTTTTGCAAGTGAAAATGGCAACTTTGTTCGGTGTCAAGTTTCCCCAAGTAAGTCAAACGCCTCTGCACAGCACAGGCAGAGCCACTTGTTTGAAAACCACTGAGAGAGCCAAACCTCACAGTACAATATAAGAGAAAAATCTGAAGGCCCAGAGCTTGACCTCTGTGAGCATTAGAGGGCTATTGGGGTTACTGCAGAGTGAGAAGAAGGAGCACTGAGCTCCCATTTTCTTCCTGTCCAACACTGGCAAATCACTGCCTCTGCCTGAACCCCAACTTCATGGCTGATAAAATTTAAATGGCACAAATCAGTCTACAAGTCCCACCAAGTCACAGGAAATGCTGAATATGTGCTTTGTTCTCTGTTTCTCCAAAGGAAAAAGGAAAGCATTCTACTTTGGCTCTGTCTTGTAATCTGTAATTCCCATTTATTACTACCCACGAATTAAGGCATTCATTCTCAGCTCTGTTACCTGGTAGATCACCTGGGGAGTTTTGAAAGCATCCTTACCTAAATTCCATCTTGAAGCAATCAAATTACAATCTCTGATGGTGGGGCTGAGGCACAGGTAATGTTTTTTGAAGTTGCCCAGGTGATTTGGACATGCAGCCAGGTTTGAGAACTGTGAGACCACTTATTCTTAGCGTGGACCCCAACTACATTACAATCACAAGGAGACCTGCTGAAAATGAAACTCTTGGGCCCCACCTCACACCTCACAGAGACTGGACCAGACACTGTAGAGGGAAAGCTGGGGCAGTGTGATCTGCATTTTAACAAATCCTCAGGAAACACTGGAGTGAGCTAAGCTCAGAAACACTGCAATACAACAGTGTCAAAGATTCCCTTTAAAACTCAGTCTCACCTAGAAATGTTAATATGTTCAGTTATTGGTATAACACTAGTACCTTACGATGAGCTCACTTGCCATTGTAATATAGTAAACGTGTAATCCTTTTCTGAAATACATGAGACAGAGGATGAGTCAGGATGAATGGAAAAGTAAGTAGAAAAGGGATCTGGCCAGTATTGTCTAATAATGAACACATATGAGCCACATATGCAAGATACCACAAAATACAAAGTTGTCTAGCTTCCTTATGAAAAGACTTCAAAGAAACAGCTAAGTTACATTTCATTATATGTTTATTTAACCTAATATATCCAAAGTATTTTCATTTCAATATTAACCAATATAAAAAGTGCTATATGAAAAGAGAAAAGGTTAGCATGCCCCTTTACGAGGATGGAAGAGGCCATTGAACCTAATAACATGCATACAGTTAAGGCATTGCCACCTACTTCATGGCATCAAAAATTATTGATGGCACATTCTATATACATATTTGTTTGAACTGGGAATCAAACTCAGGATCTTGTGCTTATCAGGTAGGCACCATGCTGCTAAGCTATATTCCCAGACCCTCTACATTATTTTTTGTACTGTCTTCAAAATCTGGTGTGTATATTGAAATTTGGACAAGCTTCAGAGTTCCATAGCCACACCTGGCCAGTGACTACCATGTTGGATAGAACACACCTAGATTAGGATTTCTCTTTTTTTTTTTTTTTTTTTTTTTAATTTTTATTTAAGGAGAAAAGAAAAGAAAGAAAAAAAAACAGTGAAGGGGTACAAGTTATACAGATTTACAGAATAAAAAAATGCGCAGTAGGAAATCACTAGTTAATGGATTACATATTGCCATCTTAGAAATAATTGTTCAAGTCACAAAATTAAAGCTTGTAGAGTGGACATTCCAACAATGATACTGCAGACAGTTCTGTTCAATGATCCAATAAAACTCTGTGATATCATTTTCTATCTTATACACTTAAATATACATGTAGTTATATAGTTTAGAGCACTTTCTTTTCCTCTCTTTTGTACAGTGACTATTACACATTTTGGGTTTCATTGCTCCCACGGTTCTTGTTGCTTTTTTGGAAGAGAGTAAAACCAAATGTGACATAACAGAACAGAATCGGTCAAGTCAAAAGGGTGGACATAATAGATAATATAAAAACATAATACAAGGTGATCAACAATGGTTACCATAATGCCTCCCGCTATTTCTAATAGAATTGCCTATATCATTAGTTGTAATACAATTGAACAAAACCGTAAAGAATAAAACCGACAAAACCAAAACATTGGAGATATTGTAGGTCTTCAAAAGTAGATAAAAGTCAACGAGAATGGGCGTTATAATGAATCTCATTATCTTCTCAGCTGATGCCTAAACTTTCGAACCTGATACTATCCAGCAAAACAGAATAGAGGAACCTCAGTCAAAAACAAGATGGTGAGAGTAACACAGGGCTTCAAATCGAGATAATAGAAAGTCAAAGTGGGTTACTATATTATATCCTGCTATATGTTTCCCTTTAATTAAATGGATAAAAATAAAAAAGTAAATAATGGAGTGGAGATTGAGAAAAAAGAGGGCATAACAGCGAAACAGGGCAGATCAAAACATAACCATTTAAGCAGAATAGTGTTTCACCACCAGATAATCCTGACCCAAAAATAGTTACCACATTGACTCCCTCCCTGAAGTCCTTGAGTACAACTTCATATACTGTAGCATTAAGTATATCAAAACATTGTAAATCCATTTAAGAGAATGACAGCATTATAGAGTATTTAGAATCGACTAACAGAAAATGAACAATGGTCTCTGTTTAATCTCCTTGTCTTTAAAAGGTTTTTTCTTATACTATCGTACTTAACAAAATCCAATAAGATACAACCTGTTTAGACCATTGGAGACAGAAGAACAAAAGCTAGATGAGACTTCAAAACAAGATGGTACTAAATCAGCATTACCTATTAAGATGTCATTTTCTCCAAAAAAAGCTGTTCCTATCATCCAATCTTCTCTGTCTCATTTCTGTTGAGCTCTTTTTCTGTCAGTAGCTGTCAGTTTGTCTTCTTCATTTTGTTCTCTGCTCCATTCGTTGTGGCCTCCCCGCCCCTATTTCTGGGTTCTTTGTATTTTTCTTTTTTTAGAATATCCTGCAATACTTTCTGTAGGGTTGAATTGGTGGTTGCAAATTCCCCCAGTTCCTCTTTATCCTGGAAACACCTCGTTTTTCCATCAATTTCCAGGGACAGTTGTGCAGGATATCTCAATCTTGGCTGTAGATTATTATCTTTCAAAGCTTGAATTATTTCTCCCCATGCTCTTCGTGATTTGATGGTTTGTGAAGAGAAATCTGCTGTAATTCTGATGGGTCTTCCCTTGTAAGTGATCTGTTTCTTGTCTCTTACAGCTTTTAATATTCTGTTCTTGTATTGAATTTCTGGAATTTTTATTATTATATGCCTGGGTGTTTCTCTGTTAGGGTTGTAGGTAGCTGGGGTCCTGTATGCCTCATACATTTGAGTATCTTTACCTTTTGCTAAATTAGGAAAATTCTCCTGGATTATTTCTGTGAGTAGCTTTTGTAGTTCACTTGTTTGTGTCCCTACTTCTTCTTTTATGTTCTTAATCCTTAAGTTATGGCTCCTCTTATCATCTTCTTGTCTTTGTATTATTGCTGTGTGTTTCTTTGTTATTTTTAAGAAGTTTTTCATTTCATTCTCCCATGTTTCAAGTCTGCCCTCCAATTCAGATAGTCTGTCCTTAGTTTCTTTCAAGCTGTTATGCCAGTCTTGGGTAGACTTCTTAATTTCTTGATAGTCCCTTTGCACCTGCTTCACATACTCAATGCTTTCTCTGTTTTCTCCATCAAGCAATTCTCCCCTCTTTTTCTGTTCTTCCATTCCACCATCTGCTTTTTCCTGAGTGGTGCTTAGCATTTCTCTAACTATTCTGCATACTTCTAGCTTCAGGTCATTGATAACTTCATTCCTGAATTGGTCTATGAGGCTCTCTAAATGGCGCTTAATGTATATTGGTGCAGTGTCCACTGCCTGATTCTCAGGATTGGGGGTCGAGGAGCCTTTTTTGTTGCTTCCCTTCCCCATATTTTCTGTTCCTTATAAAATGTAATCTTACACAGGAGGCCCGGCTTCCCTGCCTGTCAGCCACAGCTTGATCAAATTGCGCTGGCTAGTTGTTCCCGCTCACCGCTGCGCCCCAGGGAGTTGCGGAGGAGGCAGCCTACGCGGGAGTCGGTCGCTCCTCTGGGCCACCGTCAGGCTCTGGGATCTGGGTTAGGCCAGCCTAGGGAGTCCGCCAGCAGCGTCCCTCCGGTCAGGCACCTTTCACCAATCCCGTCCGAGAGGGAAACGTGCGGCTGCAGTTGCCACCGCGCCCTGCTCTTACAGGACTGCCCACGCCCAGAAAAACCTCTGCTGGAGTCAACCTGCAGTAGGGAGTCAGTTCCTCGCTCACCTCGCCACCAGTCAGCCTTCCTCCCTGTCCGTCGCGTTTCCGACTCCGTTCGCAGACTCCCGTTCCCAAGCCTCTGCGTGTCTCTCCTTGCCGAGCCGCTATGGAGGCAGCCGACCGCCGGGCGGCGGGAAATCCAAACCGCGGTTTCCAATGGCTCGGAGTCGAGCCTCCACACCGAGATTTTTCTGTTCCTATTTTAGCGCCAGGACTGTATTCCAAGTTGGATTCTCTCAGCCCAGTTCGTTCCTGAGTCAGCAGAGCATATCTCTACTGGTTCGTATCTCCTTAGTCCGCATCATTCCTGGCCTCTGAGCCGAGCCTTTAGAGAGCGTTCAGTAGTTGCTGTTGTCTGTCCGCCATGTTCTCCCCGTCCTAGATTAGGATTTCTCAAACATTAATGTATAAAAGAACTACCTAAAAATATTGGAAATGTATCCGTCATTTAATAAATGCTTTAGTCTTATTTTCTGTTGCTATAACAAAATGCCAGAGACCAAGTAACTTATTAAAAATAGAGGTTTATCCAGCTCACCCTTATGGGGGATAAGAAATCTAAGAGCATGCCACCTGTAACTGTTTTGCAGCTAGCAAGGGATTTGTGCTACATCACAATATGGAAGTTACAACTGGCAAGACAGAGCAAGAACACTTCAACTCAGGTCTTGCTTCTAAAACCACTTGTGTTTAGGATGTGGTAACCACATCCTAAAAATCTTAATTAATATTAATTACTTCAGAAGGTCCCAGCTCCAAATACTGCCATCATATGAAATTTGGAGTTAAATTTTCAGCAAATGAAATTTAGGAGACACATTTATACCACTGTAATAGGTCTGGATGGGGCTGGAGATTCTATTTCTTTTTATATTCTGTCATCTGGCCAGCTACATAATTTATGGAGCCCTGTGAACAGTGAAAATACAGCATTCCATGTTCACAAGCCAAAAAGAAAGAAAGAAAAGACCCTTCAACGGTACTAAAATAGAAAATGCTATCCTTTCCTGTGTAGTCTCTTTCCTGCCTAAAATATTGGTTTTTATTTGATGTTGCACTCCCTGTCCAAGAGTTACACATAGACTTTCACAGCAAAAGAGTGTTCTTGTGTGTGAATGTGTCACTTCATTGAATATATTTTGATTGTTATTCTCTTTATGCTAAACTTGTAACTAATCAATCTCAGAAGATAAGTAACTATGAAAACAAATATGATCTTCCTTTCAAATAAAGCATACTTTTGAAATTAGGTTGCTTGTAGAAACAGGAAAATGAAATAATCCTAAATAATTATTTACTACAGAATTTAGACCTTCTTATTTTGCTAGAAGAGATAAACCATCTTTTAAATGTGGTTCCCTTTACTTCCAAGTCAATGAGACGTCGCTCTGAGAATTCTGGCAGCTTGGTTTACAGACCAATAAGCTGCTGTTTTTAACAGTGGGGCCAACTTCAAAGAAATGTTTTTCCTCTTGTCTCCTCTTCTAGACGTGCAGATCCAAAAAACCCTAGGACTGGAACATTTGTCAGGAGTGGTGTTGAAAAACTGGACTTAGCATGATTAAAAATTCCTTTCCTACCTTTCTTATTCATTGATTGAAAATATTCTCAATTCGCAGAGGTCTTGAGGTGCTTTTTTTTTTTTTTTTTTGTCTTTTTTCCTTTTTTATAGGTACCGGGGATCAAGGAAGGCAGGCACTTATGCCGCTGAGCTAAATCCCCAGCCCCTTAAGGTGCTTTTAAAGGAATAGATAGTATTTACGTCTAAGAGAAATCACTAACTCAGATGAGACCTATGATATAGGACATCCTCATTAATATGAAGGTGGGGATGTTTGCCAAAGCCATCTTTGCTAAATGTTTCTTGTGATTTCTTTAAGTAAAAGGCAAAAATACTATAGTATTACAAATATAAGTAGAAATAAGGTCCCTAAATGCTCTGTGAAATCATTTTTCTGATTCCGTTTATATTTGATAATTAGCACAGATATT